TGTTACATTTTCTATCCAGCTAAACATATCTAAAGATTTTTTTCCTTCCATCCATCGTGACCTACCTCTCTCTTTTTTTTTTTTTTTTTTTTTTTTACAGCATCTTTCCTTTCCTAATATTTCAGGTAATATTGTATTTATTTTATAATTTTTTTATAATCACATCAAAAACCATGGACGTGAATGTAAATGTGAAATATTTTTTCATAATTTTTTTCCAATAATATTAGCTTACTTATAACCTATTATAATAATAATTTTTAAACTTCATGAAACTAAAAATAGACTAATATTACATGTTTTTACTTAAAAATGTTTCAATACTTATAAATATAGTATTGTCTTTGTTAAATATATATCGAACAACAAGTATATATATATATATATATATATTTAAAATTTTTACTAAAAAAATAAAATACTTATATCTAATTTATTTATAAAATTGCAGAGTAATCGTTGGATTTATTTAATGTAGATATGTCTTCCAGCCGAACAGGTTCAACTCATCCAATCGAAATTTCAACTGCTTCCACTGAAACAACAATACAGATCCAAGATGATTACGATGAATTTAAAAAGGCGGAAGAGATATTCATTGCGCTAGACCTTCCTAAATATACTAGATTTTACTGGACATGCATAAGTACACTTAAGGAGCAAGCATTATGGCGTAAGTATTTTATTGACATAGCTGAAAGCACCGATGAAAATAAGCTACAACTGCTAGAAATTATAACTGGTGTTTTACGGAATAACGAATATATGCGAGAACAATTAGGTTCAAACCAATAATAGTATTTTTTTATAGTGTTGTGCTTTTTATGATTAAAATTTTTAGCAATAATTATGCCAAATTATTTTTTATTGATCATCAATATTTAAAGTTCACAAATATATGAAAATGTTTCTTTGTTATCAAAAAAACACTAATAATATTAGTATATTTATTTCTAACATATTTATCTATAATCGGTAATGCGTACCGCTTGTTACTTTTTTTATCATTCAAACATTTTATTGTGTACCGCAAATAGTTTTTTCACCAATCAAACATTATTCCGTACCGCTTATTTTGTACAAACCGCACTTGTCCCGCAAATACTTTTCTCCCGCACGTACCGCAGTTGAACCGTACCGCACTATAATACCGCTTTCCCCGCACAGCAAAAAACGCTGTTACTATTCGGATCCTATATGTTTGTTTGCAACACCTCCACTTGACTTCTTCACAGTCACTTCTCTTTTTGGCTCTTTCTTATTATTATTTATTGAGTACTAATATCATAAAATCTTTTTAGTTTTTATTTTTATTTTTATTTTTTTTTTATTTTTTAATCTTTTTAGTTTTTACAACTACAAATGTCTTTCTGGTTTAAGCCATTTAAAAAAAACAAAAAAAAACTATAGATGTCGAAAAATACACTAGAACAAACAATATTTAACTAACTATTTTTTTCTTTTCTGTTTTTTTCGTCAATTTAGAGAGATTATTTAGTTGCTTATTGCTTAACCCACGAAAAGAATATGTACAATCCCACAAAAGGGAAGAGACAATCCCACACGTAAGGAATGTTAACACACCCCAATAAAGAGTAACAGAATCCGTAAAGGCTTAAATAAGTATTCTCAAACTTAGAATGATACTAATTCTGATATATGGGATAGAGAAACCTTAAGCCAGACTTTAAAAACTCCTTAAGATCTCATTAACACGGTAATCAACCGCTTTAGGAAACGTCAGTGAGAAACGTACTCTGTGATTTCACCAGCTGATAATATATACCACTAAGCTACCAATGACTAACATGATATTACACATTACATAAACTATTAAACAAAAGATAAAAACAAACACAAAAAGCTTCATAAGTCACAACTAAGCGTCTCATAAAGAAACATGTTTAAGCATCCCGCAAAATGCCTCGACACGATTCGTTCTCCTCCACGGCTTCGAAAAAGATCGCCTAAGAGTTCACGTGGCTTCTCATGAGTCAAGAATCTGCCGCATTATATCCTCCATGTGTCAAAACCGTCAGTTTTGCACTAGCTAGTAAACTCCGTCAAAGGAAACTCCATCACGGCTAAGTACTGAAACTGGATGCTAGTGAGAGGGTAGAAATTTAACGGTGTAAATAAAACAAAGAAAGAAACAATTATGCGATTAAATAAAAAGACCTAGCCATTAGGATTTGATTTGAAGGGAGATTCGTTGGTTTCAACTTTTGGCAAAAAATAGGTAACCGTTGGGGGTCTAAAGCTAAGGTGTGAACACGGCTATAAATAGTAAATACGATCCTTTGTATCTTGAGATATTCTAGTTCAGTATGTGTGTTTCAAGTCTTCTAGGAGCTTATTTGGTTTAGATACTCTCTTTGGTGCCAAATCTTGTTCTCAAAGAGCTAGATAAGGAAATTTGCTTCTTTAACCGGTTTAATGTCTCTCGGGTTGCATGGCTGCCGGTTTTCAAATTAATCTTAACTGGTATGGGTCAAGTTTTGGGTGACCGTATGCACTAGACGAGAACATGCCTCTTGGCTTTTTTTCTTTTCGAAATATGAATGTATTTCTAGTTCTTATACTAAACCGCAGGACCGGCCCAGACGTAAAGCACAGTTAGCAGGTGCTTTAGACAGCAAAATATATTTTAAGTTTTAGGAACATCATAATTACAAAAACATTTTGTCGTGCAGTGGTATTTTTTTTCTTCATAAGCTCGAATGTGGCAAGTTTGAATCCAGATCTACGCAAATTTTTAGAATTTTTTTTGTTTTTCCTTTAGTAAAATGGGCATCAAATTTTGAGTGAGCTTTAGGCATCACTCCTGTTCTAAAAATCCCGCCTAGCCCGATTACTCCCCGCTTAATCGCTAGGCCTACCCTATCGGCCTCGATTAATGACTAATCCCTTAAAGAAATCAGTTACCCGATTACTTTCCGCCTAATCCGATTACTTTCCGCATAATCCGATTACTCCCCGCCTAATTTTACATATCTCGATTATTTTTAGATTGCAAGTATAAATTTTTATTTGATTTTTTTTATTCAATCATTTAAATTGGGCGTTTGTGATGTTTACAATAACTTGTGTTCAAGTTTTAATAAAAATCATAAATTTCTAATAAAATTCATAAAAATTTATTTCAAAATATAGTTTTATGTGTTTATTGCAATAAAAATATTAAAATAACCCTAAAACGAATCCCCGATTAATCTCCGATTTTAATCTGATTTTTCGATTAATCGCTATGTTCATACCTAGCGCCCGACTAGCGCTTAACAATTTTTCAAACAAGGGGCATCACAAAACACTGGACCGGTCCTACTAAACCACATCATGTCACGTATGAGTATAAGTTAGCCCGACTCCACGCACTCTTCTAGAATGATCATCTAATCTAGCTATAAGTCTATCATCTTTTTCCCATCATCCTTTGGTGATCTAATTTGTTTGTTTAGCTGAATCTACATTTAACCTTTCTGTGTGTGACAAAATATCCTACAATTTGTTTTCTTTTCCTTTTACAACAATTTTTTTGCTTTATCTTGAACGAAATATAAGTAAACAGGAGAAAAAAAAAAGAAGGGGAGAAAACACCTTAGGAAAAAAAAGAACGTACCGCTTACCAAAAAAAAAAAAAAAAAAAGATGAACGTACCTTATTTCCATAGACTTACATAAACTTTCTCCACTAAAACTTAATCCACCGTAACTTTATTCTTCATATGTAAATTACACTAGCTTATATTTTACATTTTTAAACTATCCATGTTTTTGAGATATTAGGATTTATCTATACTATTAATTGAGAATCACTAAAAATTAAATAACCTTATAAATGGTAGAATATTACAGAAAATGCCATTGGAAAAATTGAATATGAAGAAGGAAAAAAAAGAATCGCAAAAGGGTAAAATGGTCAATTTTATTTGTTGACCCGAACAAAAACGCGCGGATCCTTCATACCCGTTTGAAGCCGTTTTTTTACCCGACACTACCAATAATAAATAGACCGTATATTAATATAAGGCCATTATGCTTATCTGATTCAATTTATATCGGGCCAAATATATTTTAAACATTGATTTCCATTACAAGCCCATACATTATAAAGCATCATGATACGTTTGTAACACGTGAATCTTTACAACTTGATATTTTCATTATTTTAATATTATAATAGAAAGAGCATTTTACGTATATAAATCCTAAAATACAAACAGCTTTCCAGTTAAAACCAAAAAACCATAATCTTTCCTTCATGATTGTTGAAATTGCAATCACAAATTTTGGATATTAGTTCCCTATTAGAAACAACCTAACATCAAAATATTTAAATCAAAGCTCATGATGCTGATCATATGAACTTCAACTTCTTCAGCCCAATACACACAGATCTTGGACTGAGTTATTTGGGTCATGGAGCGGATTTTGATAGTAGCTATCCATCCGAATTAAACCAATTTTCATATAAAAATGAAACTAAATCAATTATTTTAGGAAATAAACTAATTACAAAATTAATTAGCTTATGTATTCTCCACATTTGATGGGTTGTTTCGAATAGTATCATTTAAGTAAGATCCTTTAAACAATTATAAAAGTTTAAATTTTGAATTTTTAGGAAAAAATAGATCAAATCATTAATTATTTTACGTAATCTACGTTTTTATGGATAATTTCGAATATTAGCATGTGCGATTAATCTTTTTATAAATTTCCAAATATTTGGCTTTACAAATTAGTTCACGTAATCTATAAATTTTACGGTAGTTTTCCATAAAATATATAATCGAAATAAATCATATATGCTTCAAAATAATCTTACCTAAAGATTGCTATCCTTAAAAATGAAGCATATTCTACGGAATTTTTTCAAAAATCTTCTATCAATTATTTTTCTTTAAATGCATTAACCCTAAAATATATTAGCTGACTCTCTTGACCCTATAAATATAGGGTTTGTTTGCATGTTTATCATCGCTCAGTACTCATCTCTTATTTTCCTTTCTATTGCTTTATTGTTCTCATTTTCAAAGATGGCTGCAAATCTTGACTTCACAAGCCTTGCTCATGTTGAACCTTTCAAAACCCAATGGGGGATTCAAGTTAAGATATTGCATTCGTGGACTCAGTATACTGGAGAGACCATGGACATGATTCTCGCCAATGAATATGTAAGCAAATAGATTCACATATAGTTATTTGTTTACATGGCTTTATATCTTAATGTTTTCTTTCTAACAAATTATATTTTAACATTTCTAAGGTACTTTGATTCATGCATCTTTCAGAAAGCAACTTTTGTAAGCTAAAGAGGTTCTATTCGAACTGGAGAATGGTGAATTATCGAAAACTTCACACTATCAACAGCTATGGAAAAGTATCGGGCAACCAAACATGCCTACAAAATATCTCTCATGAACAAAACCTAGAAGTCCTTGTGCTTCAATCTTAGATGATATGTATTTTGATTTTACTACCTTTGATGATATATATCTTGAATGAGGAAGGGTTGAACGATAATTTCTTGATTGGTAATTATATAAATTATAACTATGTAAATGTTTTGATAGAAGCTTATTCAATTACTAACATAACTTATAATTTTATTTTATTTTTCAGACTTATTCGGTCATGTAAAAAGTATTGGTAAAATAAAAACTTGTGACATTTCTAACAAGCCTACACTCTACACTATTAACTGTTATGATGTTTAAAAACAATAAGGATTTTCTATTGTAGTGGTGAACCTTTACATGGAAAGGTAGCCCAATTTAAAATGTATAGATATTTTTTTTACTCTTTAATATATTTGCAGGTGAAATATATCAATCAAACTCCTTTGACAGTTATCTTGTGGTTAGAGAGTTTATCTCCACATATGTAATAATAATCGATTCATAGTATAGATAGTATAATTGTTTTTGACAGAATTATAATTAACTATTTTTTTTATTGTAACATATTAGACTGCCTAAAGATGGATTAGCTTTGGATATCCAAGAAGATATCCCAAAGAAAATGCAAGTGTTGAAAAAGTAGTATTTCAATCGATTCCTTCGGAAACAATGTCTGAACTTTCTGAAATAGTTGTAGGATTTTTTAAATAGTGGTTTTAAATAAGATTATGTGTAAAATCAACAGAATTCATGTGGACTATTCTTGGTATTATTTTTGCTGTTTAAAATGTAGCAAGAATGCAAGATTGCATATAAAGGGCCAAAAGTTGAGAATTAAATTGTGAAGAAAGGTAACAAACGTTCATTTTGGTGTACGAGTGTTAAGAATACATCACTAATGTTATGCCAAGGAAACTATATTTGTATGTATGTTTAGCTTTGCAAACGAATTTTAAATAGTAACCAAATATTTATCATAATTACACAAATATTTACAAATTCGAAATAGGCCAAATAAATGGCTTTACTACAAGCCCATAAAATCTAACCCAAAATACATTTACTAAAAAAATGGATCACTACGTTTAAAAGTTTTAACATAGTAACAAACACTGATGTTCACATATCCGATAGTTCAACACTTATAAAATTAAAATGTGTTTCATCATTGACAACAAGCCTTTTAAAGTATCGATAGTCGAAAATAATCGAACTATTACTTTGATACATAAAATAAAAAATTTTATATAGCACTACTTTACATCAATCTAACCTATAATATATTTACATCTAATACTATTTTTCTCTACTCTTTAGTTTCAAACTCCAAACTTTATCTCATGAATCACTACTTTAGCTATTGTATTATAAAAAAGATACATTTTTTATGTTTACATTATAATATATACCGTACAATATGTATCACAAAACAACAAAATAATCTAAATCGAATTATAATTTATTATAACAATTTCTTAAAATATAAAATCCCGTACATACGTGCGGGTCAGGATCTAGTTAATGTGTAAGTGTAACTATCGTCTAAAATTTTTCGGTTCAAATTGAAATTGACACCAATTGATATTGTTGGTTTAAGTATTTTTTTTTGAAAAATATCTCGGATTTAATTAACATATTTCAAAAAATATTTAGAACTTAATTTAAAAATATAATTTGTAAGTTTGTGTAGTTTATAGATAAGAGAAAAGTTTCAGGTGAAATGAACTTGATTGGGTAAAATTTGAATAATTCAAAAATGTTAATCGTATATTTGTGTAATTTACGAATGTATTAAAGTTTAGTTGAGAAAATTTGTGTAATATACGGAAAAAAAAAAGGAAGCATGTGGGTCTAGTTGATATTGTTTGAAACAAATTCACGTGCCAATTTCCCATGTAAAACCTTCTCCCATGTTACATTTTTCTTCTCATCCTTCCCCACTCTTTATTACTCCCTCTGTTTCACAAAGAGTGTCATTTTAGAGTTTTGCACACAAATTAAGAAAACATTAAATTTTTTGTTTTTTTCTAAACAAAAACATTATTAACTATATACCTAAACATAATCTGCCCAATAGTAAAACAATCTGCAGAATACTAATGGTCATAAAACATAAAAAATCATTAAATTTTGCATTGAAAACCTAAAACGACACTCTTTGTGAAACAAAAATAAAACCTTAAAACGACACTCTTTATGAAACGGAGAGAGTATCATTTATTAGCCATTATCCATTACTACTACTATATCCGTTCCTTTTATAATTCAGCCATTCTTGATACGAGAACGAGATTATGCAGTTGTTTTAGTAAACTTTTCGACGAAAACTCGACGAAAACTTTGATGTACTTTAGTAGTTTATCAATTGCGTTTGTTAAAACAATCAAACATGTTTGAACCGCGCCTGGTTTGGCTCAAGATGTTAGTCACCGATTTGTTGCTCATTTTATTTCCAAACTATTCACTTAGTTCTTTCCATTAAAATCTCTCAAAAGTTGCATATAATATATTTTAAAATAAATGTTGAATAAATTTTACATCCATTCAAAAATAAAATAAAAAATAACAATCAATTATTGTAACTAAATATTCAAATTTTCTTTTAAGGTATACTAATTATTTCTCTAATCTTCACTTCCATTAAAACTGTCTAAGAGACCATAGAGCGCAACTGCGACAATAACTTAATAACTAGATTTTAACCCGCGCTACACCGCGGGATGATTTATTTTTAAAGTTAGTATAAAAAATATTTTTTAAATTGTATCTCCTTATAAAATATTTATTTATATTATAGTTTACAATTGTTATTAAATAACAGTATACCACGAGTCTACGAGACAATTGTTAATAAACTGAGGATTTAATCCGTATTAAAGCGGCATGTTAATGATATTTATAAATATTGATTCAAATTCGTCCGCCATATAAACCCGTTCCGAAATATAACGCGTTCCGTAATTTCTTAACTTGTCCCGTAATTTATTTTTATTATAAAATTTAATGATTATTTATTATATATAAAAGTTTATAAATCATATCATTCTCTGAGTCATTTATATTTTAATAAACTGAAGATTTAATCTGTATTAAAGCGGCATGTTAATGATATTTTAAAATTTTATAAATATTGATTCAAACTCGTCCACCATATAACTTCGTTCCGAAATATAACCCGTTCTGTAACTTCTTAACCCGTCCCGTGATTTGTTTTCTAAAAGTAGTAATTTTTAAAATTTAGCGATTATTTATTATATATAAAAGTTTGCAAATTGTATCATTTTCTAAGATATTTATATTTTATAGTTTACAATTGTTATTAAGTAACATTATACCACAGGACAATTTTTGGTTTTATACAATCTTTTCTAAATGAGATTCATTTAATATGTCTAATATTGGTGATATTAAAAAAATTAAAGATTTAATCCCTATTGAAGCAGCGGATTAATGATATTTTAATCTTTTTATTATAGTTGATTCAAAAAACCGTCCCACCAAACCTGTCCGGCCAAAAACTCATTTATTTTATTAATGTTGATCTTATTTATGATATGATTCTGAATATTGTCTAAATATTTTAATTTATGTAGAACGTTGAATACACATTTTCATCAATTGGATAATATATGTCTGTTTTTGAAATTTCGAATCACAGTATATACAATTTTTTTTTTTTTTGACTTTATGTATTATATGATGATTCAAAACAGTTAAAAACAAATCAAACAAAGATAATATGAGAATCATAATTCTAAATCTTAATCAAATCTTTTATATATCTAATAATAATATGGAATACCCGGTGTATGAATTGGGTTAAATATAATCGGATCCAACAAATTTTTTATGACCAAAATTTGTAAACGGGTCGGATATCCAAAGTATCCGAGAACAATTTTACCCACCCGACTCAAAAGTGACTGCAAAAATACTAGTATAGATGAGTTAGTGTTTCCTCTTAACCATTTTGTTGTAAGGCTTACTATGAAGAAAAAATTATCAACCGATATAATTAGTTGTGAATAATGTTGCATTCGATCAACCACGTTGGACGATGGGATAAAACACTACCTTGCATTGGAGAGAGCTGTCGTGAGAAGTTCCCTTATGAAATTAAAGTCATGTGCGTATTCCCTAAAGGATTCGACCATTCATATTGGCATGTTTAGTCTCTTAAGTTTGTAACTGATTAAAATAAGCATGCAAATTATAGAGGCCTTATTATAGTATAAAGAGAGCAAGCTAGCTAAGACCCTTCTCTTCTGCTTGTGAATTCTTCGCTTGATCACCTATTCAATCTATAGTTCCTCCCTTACCATTACTGCCTTCGTATTCATTATTCGTTTCTGGTTGCATCTTTTCGTTTATGGAAAAATGTGCTCTTTCATCATCTCTTGTTGGCAATTTTCCGTTGTCTTTTCTAGCGCCAGTGCATCCTTGACGGATATAGATTTTTCCGTTGTCTTGGAGGAATACATGACATGAAAGACTTAAAAAAAATTTTATATATAGCTTTAAATTATTATTTTTAATTAACAATAATACACAATTATATTATTTAGAGACATAATTTTCATATTTTCATTCTTAAATATTAAAATACGTTAAACGTTTTATTGCAGCATATATGGTAAATCACATATGTCGCAGTAAAATATAACTTTTACATATTCATAAATACGTTTCACGGATTTTATGCGAGTACGTTTGGAAGTCCCTCGTGCTTAACACACAATCAAATAACAACTTATTATGTTATTTTGAAAATTCTACACCTAGTTACTTCTTAACCACGAGTGAAAAAAACACAATGAGTTTGATGATAGAAGTATAATAAATACATTTCAACAAAAAAATATTAAAAAAATAATAATAATAATAATAAATACATGTCTACATACATAATAAATTAATAATACTTAATAATCATAATAGAAAATTAGAAATTGGTAAGCCATATAACAACAATACAGATGCACATGTGGGTGTTTCGCTATCATTTGATTGTCACAAAGTTATATTGTATGATTTAAATTTGATCCGAACGTGCACCTAAGCAATGGAATTTTAAAAATACGGTCGTTGCATTTTTGAATAGAGTCTCACTCTCTGTTTAGATATATATTTCTATGTTATGTGTCATGTTTGATGTTTTAGAAGTTTTTTTGGT